CTGAGGTTGGAGTTATTTGAATGATTCCCATGCTGGTGAGGGAGAGCCCATGGTTTTCTAAAATCATAAAAATCACAATCTAGGGAACAAAGCCAAAGGATGCGGATTCCCTTTTATTCGGATTGTGTTAAATCAGAATAATCAGAGGGAGAAAGTATTTTGTAGCAATTGCTATCATAGCTGGCTCCAGAGCTCTCTTAGGTGAGAACTAAGTTTAGAACTTGGGAAAGAATGCACCTTTACAGTTTTCTTTAGGTGTGGAATATGTGGCCTGAGGGACTGGTCTGCAGATGCAGTGGGATGACAAGAGATACCAGGGCGTTTTGGGAGGAGTGGAAGAGAGCAGACAGAAGAGAGAAGATTAGGGCATGAAGAGAGGGAGAAGGAAACGTGTCTGGAGGCTGGAGACTGCGTAGGCAGCTGGTTGGTGAGAGATTCTGGAGCTTTTGCAGATGGAAGTATATACTATTAAATCCTAAATCATTTGAAATGCTCTCATGCAATCCCTTTCCTGAAAGCTTTGATAAAATCTTCTGTCCATAAAGCTTGGCAGTAGTAATTTTGGCAGTGATGGGTTGGGGTGCTTATTGAGGGGTGATATAGTGCACAAAGGAGAAATCTCTTCCCCCTGCAAATAGAGGAATAATCTGTAAAATGAACCAAGTCAGTGGAAGTAGGCCCCAGGGTTGTAGTTGAACTCGAGTCTGCCCAAGAATCTCTGGGGCAGTGCTATGCTTTTTGAGGTTTAAGTTTTGTGGGAACAAAATCTCACTTGGCTCTTTGAAGTCAAGGCAGTACCACTGTGTTTGTCATGAACTGAAGCTTAAGGAAGACATCAAGTCTCAAACCCAGAATTATTGTGGAGACCAGACTAAGTGGAACACTCCTGGAGAAATTATGGAAGTAGCAGCAATATGGTTTATTCATTCATTCATGAGACACTGGCACACCATTTTATGAGTCAAACTCTTTAATATTTTCTAAAACCATAGACATTGTCCCTGCCTTCAAGGAGCTTTCACCATTGATATGTGAAGGCAAGGGGAGCTGACATTTATTGAGTTCCTTGTATGTGCAGACAGTTGACTGTATATATTTCACATGCATTTTCTTTCTCAGATTTTCCTAACAGCTTTATAAGTCAGTAGTTATTGTTTCCAACATACACACAGGTAAGCTGAGGCCCAGATAAGTTAGGGAACTTCACTCAAACGTGTGCAGCTGATCGATAATGAAACCAGTGTTTATACATAGGATTATCTGACTCTAGACTTTGAGGAGGGCCCTTATTTTGGTCAAAAGCATTGAAAAATGGGTCATAAGGGGTTCAGCCTTGACAGTGTGGTTGGAAAATTATTTCCCATATTTATTTTGAGCCCCAGTCAACTTGCTGTGATGCCTATCCGCTTATCTGCTATGAGTGCTTTCTATTACTGGGTTAACCATTGTTTTCCCTGTCAAATCCACTTTTAGAAGCTTCATATACCAACTCAGCAAGGTATGACCACCTCATCATGGATGAGTTTGCTAGCTAAGGGTTCTGGTGCCTACTGAGGAGCCAGAGTAGTGAAAGGCGCAGAGGGAATACTGGAATCCCAGAATGATGCTACAGAAACATGGAGAGAGATATTGTTGTTCTTTGCAAGTACACAGGCTCTGCTTTTTGCTGCACATTAGAACCATCAACCATAATTAGCAAAGGGCAGCTACATGAGCCTTTTTAATGAGTCTTGTGCCCAGGGTACAAGGAGAAAAGGAGAAATCCATCATGTTGTCCCATAAGCATAAATATCACACAAATAATTAAGTGAGGGTGATATCCTATGCACTGTCCATATGATATTTATTTAAAATGATTTTCTCAAGACAGGCCCAGAACCCTTTTTCTTTGGGAGATAGCTAGGAGCTGGGCAGAGATGATTTGGGCACTTGATGAGCAAAAACGAATTGGACTGACATTTGAGAATCCACCTGAGCCTGGTGTTGGCTGTGGCAAGTGGACGGACATCTGTTGTTTTTGTCTGTTTAGCACCATCCTATCCCTTTGAGGAAATGTTCTTCCACCCTGATCATGTGATTGGGATTGGGCTGCCAATCACAATTTCTTACCCAACCCTCTGGCCACAAGGGTGGACATATGATCCAGACTTAACCAATAGCACCTCATTTGCCTGGTCCCAGTGATTAGTTCATGCCTGTGACTCAAGCGTGCTTGTTAGAACCATCTCCTTTGGCAATAAGGACAAAGCACATTAATGTTTCTGTGTTATGATTTTTTGAAGGACAAGAAACAGAGACTTGTGGGGCCTTCTTTCTCTGCCACGTGGCATCCACTGTCTGTAAGGGAGAGTAGCATCAAACCGGGACCAGCAGAAATGGAGAAAAAAGGAACAATGAGTATCAAGATGCCAGTTCCAGTTCTTGAGTCCCCTAGAACTGCCCTTGTTCTTGTCTCTGCAGTTTCATGATCCAATGGATTCCACTTTGGATTAAACTTCTTTGAGTTGGGTTACTATTAACAGACATGAACTTCAAAAATCATATTTTGAGAACATTTTCTTCTAAGAAGCTGGCAACTTACACGATTGGCATCAGTGGTAGGTTGGACCTTGGACTCTCTACCTATATGTCTGAACTTGAAGGGACCATAGTGGTCAATGAGCTTCCCCTTTTTCACTTGACAGTTGAGGAATCTGAAATTCATCATACGAAAGAGACTTGCTGTGATCACATAGCAAATCAGTGGCAGAACTGGGGCTGGACAGGGTCTTGGTCTCTTGATTCTTAGGCTAGTACTTCCCCTTAGGGTTGGGGCAGCATGCAGTTTCCTGGCAGGGTAAACAGACCAACTAAATATGAATGCACAGAACCAAGAGAATCCCAAACTTGACCTCAGGCCAGCCACACCTTCTTTTCCCCCTAACTCTACTATGTGTCTGTCCTCACTTTCTAAGATTAGGTAAGAAGTCAATTATTCTTTGTTTGGTCTCATTCTTTGAGACCTGACCTGGAACCCAAAATTGAGCATCTTGACAGCAAGGCCTAAAGTCAACCCTACCAAAAATCTAGCTGCTTCCACCAGAGGTATGGGTTTCAAAGCCTGGTCACTCATATATCCCATGGCCACCAAAGGGGTTGACTGGAGGTGGGGGAGAAACACTGCTAAGAGAATTTTCACCCCCCTTCAACTACAGCAGCCCACTCAATCTCCAATTTCAAAGTCTTTTATATATAGGAGTTTAATGTACAATTTTGTTTGAAAATGGGTTCTTCTTTAAAGAGAAAAAACACCTTAAAACCATTGTTCTTATAAGCCGAATCCAACTACTATTCTTTTAATGAAAGGTGATGTGTGACAGGTCATGTAAGCCAGCAGGAAAGGAGTTCCAAACAACCTTTTTATGAAAAAGGCCCAACATCATTATTTTTTATTTTTCTCAGTAATTTTATTTAGTTATTTTTCAAGTACAGTTTTTTGCCTATTTCTCTCATCCCAGCCCCCCACCCCGTGCTCCCCACCTCCCTCCCACTTCCACCCCCCCCCCCCCCCCCAGTTCTCATCCCTGTGTCCTTCATATTTGCTTCTCCAAATCCCTCCCTTTTCCCCCCTTAAATTCCCTTCCCTCTCCCCTCTGGTCACTGTCCCCTTGTTCTCTATTTCAGTGTCTTTGTTTTTATTCTGCTCGCTTGTTTGTTTTGTTGTTTAGCTTCCTGTTAAAGGTGAGATCATATGGTATTTGTCTTTCAACCCCTGGCCTATTTCACTCAGCATAATGCTTTCCAGTTCCATCCATGTTGTTGCAAAGGGTATTGAAGGGAAAAAAATCACTATTTATAATAACCCATGTTTTGCCAAATATTAATGATCCACTGTTGGTTATAAAAACAGAATCTTGGACAAATGACCCCATGCCCATATGGTAATTAAGAAATATTGTCCTAGTTGGTGTGTTTCAGTGGATTGAGTGCTGGCTTGTGAACCAAAGGGTCGCCAGTTCAGTTCCCAGTCAGGGCACATACCTTGGTTGCAGGCCGGGTCCCAAGTAGAGGGTGTGCAAGAGGTATCCACACTTTGATGTTTCTCTCTCTCCCTTCCCCTCTTTAAAAATAAATAAATAAAATTAAATAAATAAATATGCTTTCATTCACTTGTTTATTCATTAACTTCATTGAGTGCCCATGCCCTGGGCTCACTTTGTTAAGTGCCGAGAATACCATATGGAACAAGATGTATGATCCACAGAAATTTTAGAAATTAATCCTTTCTTTCAAGCAAAACTTCTTTTTTGATAAGTTGTCTTTGAGCAGAGGAGCACTGGGGGATTGATTGGCTCTAAGGTCAGATTGAAAAAGAGGTTTTGGCAAATGAATCTGGGTTCATCTTTCCAAATGTAGTCACTTGCCTTCTTTACCCTAGTTTGTTCTAGCTATAAATTTCCATCTGGGTCTCAGTGTCACTCTTTGTCTTTAAGGATTTATAAACACTGTTATGAGGCCAATCTAAGGTTTCAGAACCAGCCCCCAAATGATTTGAGAGGTCTCTTTGAGTGATAGGAAACCTTGGTTCTAGTTATGCTAATTATTTTGGTAGCTTTAGGCAAATCACTTCATCCAACTGAGTTTCTGACTTTTTACATATGGAATTAAGGGGCTGAAATGTGGACTTTCCCAGAAGAACATTGGAGTTTCCATTTCTGGATGAATTATTTAATATAAGGCTAGCTGCTATAACAGATAAATTCTCAGTTGCATACACAGTATGTGCTTATTTCTTTTCATGTCATAGTCAATAGGCATGACTGGCCAGATGGCCTTCCATGTTGCTATCTAGGGGCTGCTTCTTCCATACTGTGGCTCTTCCTCCTCTAAGTCAGGGTTCCAAGAAGAGTAGTTAGAATAAACCAACTAATGAGTGCCCCAAATCAAGATGATTAAAAACATTTGAGCTGGTTAATAGGGAAAGAGAAAGAGGAGGCTCTTACGAGTTTTCTTTTCTTTTCTTTTTGTGCACTGTTCCCAGGGATACTGCAATACCAGGTTGATGAGTGGAATGTATGGAGCAAGCTCGTATTCTACTTCTGTTTCAAAAATCTATTTACTGTATTGTCCTCAGGTAAAAGACATATGAGATATTAAACTTACAAGAATAGATACTACATTTGATCTTAGCCAAAAGGCCAAGAAATGATTCTCCTGGGGATTTTTATGGGCCAGGTGTAGAAGAGCATTCATCCATTCTACCCACATTCCAATGGCTAAAGTTGGTCACATGGCCACAACTAAGCACAAGGAAGTCTGGGAAATGTAGTCTAGCTGTGTGGTGAAGAGGAAAGGAAAACATTTGCTGCATAACCAGCCAGTTGGGTATAGAACACTGTTTGCCACTTTAGATAGCAGTCCCTCCTCACTAACTTTTTAACAAAAGGTTTAAAGCCATATACTTCTGCCTTAATAAGGGAGATCATTTACAGTAGCTAAGAGCTGACAGCAGGCTTGGTTAGGGAGTGTGTCTATACATCCAGGTTTCCCCAAGAGAGGCCCAGCTTATGCCTGTGGTCTCAGCATTCCTTTCAGTCAGTGTGCCCGTCATTCTCAAAAGTAACCCAGTTTGGATGATAAATTATACAGTCACCCTAATCCTTGAGGGTGGACAGTGCCGAGGAAGGAAGAGAATACAAGCGTGTGTGAAGATGTTGCTAAAAAGAAGCCACATAGCCACTGTTTCATAAAGACAGTATTTTTTTTAATTTTAAAATTCTGCATCTGAAAACACAGTATGACAGAAAGCATCTATGTACACCAGCAGTGTTTTTGGTATGGTACAGTATTTATTACATCCACTGTTTTCTGCAAAAAATTTTGCTTTGTCAGACAGAAACAAACTCCCCTAGACAAAAAAATACAGCTAAGGCACAATTTTGTTGTTGTTTTTCTGCTAAACAAAAAAACAGAAAAGGTGCAAAGATGGGTGGGTAGTGCCATCATTTCCGAGAATCACATTCTAATGCAAGAAAAAAGCATTTGGGTGATTGGAGCTTTGATTACTGGTCAATTTCAGATAGTTTAATATCTCTTAAAATATTCCTTTAAATAAATAGCAAAATATCTACATCTTTCAGTGTGTGCCATTTGAATTCTCTCTTTTTTAAAACTTTATTTACATATTCTCTCTTTTTAAAAAAATCAATACATTACAAAATATTTCTGTACAGTTTTATGCATATTATGATCTATAACAAAATAGTTATTTTTAAAAACTATATCACCACATGTCTTTGAAAAAAATTAAGAGGACGGTAATAACTTATTGTGAGGCTTCTAAAAAAAACCCAAATGCTACTGATAACATAATAATATTAAGAAAACAAGACAAAAAAACTACAAAGACAATTGCGCTCAATTCCAGTGAATTTCCTATGAAAACCCTGGGTTGTCTTTGGCCTCCATCAGCCCTGGAGCGATGGAAGGGAAAAGGGGGGGCTCTGAAAGTAGGGAGATCATGGTCCCTTGGAGAACATGACACATCTGCTGGGAATATTTAATGCTACTACTTTCCAGGCAGGAAGGACGAAGAGATAAATTGAGAAACTCTCCTGACTTACCCTTGACTGAAGTACGTAAGTCACCATGTGTTTGGGAAAGGGAGGGTTAGAAAACTGGAGTTAGCACTCTGCAGGCAATGAAGCCACCCCATAAACAGCAGCAATGTGCTCAGAGAGAGTGCTTCAGGAACTGGCTGAGGTCTAGATGAGCACCCAAGCCTTCTTTTTACCCATAGGAAACATTTAAGAATATTTTTCCTAAAGATGACATTTATTAGCAATTTCTAAGTATCTGCAGACTACAGATTGGCCGCCCCTTGCTTAAGAGGCTCTTTCTTCTTGGATGTTGGTGGAAATGGGAGGGAAAGGGCTGTCAGCTTTCCAAAAATAATTTTAAGGCCACATTTCAAAAAGGAGAACCTAAGGCTTGTGCGGGGAGGGGTGGGAGTGGGGAGAAGGTAAGTAAGTCAGAGGAAAGTGAGGAATGGGGAAGACGAATTAGGGATGGAGGTGGCAAGGGGCAGAACCTGCTTTCCTGTGGGGTCTGTGGGCAGAGGCAGTTGGAGAACTCCCAGCCAAGTGGATGGGGAAGGGAGGGCCACTATGTCCCTGTGTGGACTTGGCAAGGACAGAACCAAAGACAACATGAGGGGTGGACACAAGTGGTGCAAGAAAGCCCTCCTCAATCTTAAGAGGTAAAAAGAAATAATACTTGAGAGAGGGAGAGAGAGAGAGAGAGAGGGACAGACTGACAGACAACAGAGACACACAGAGAGAATTTGCATAGATTGTACATTCAGCTCAAGCAGATTTGGCCACCTTTATTCCCCCTCAAGGTAAACTTCTCAGCAGACACAGTGAGGTAGCGCCTGTGGTAGACCCATGGGCAAAATAAGGTAACTGAGGCAGAAGCTGAGAGGACATCCTATGAGTAAGCACAGCTCCAGCATCGTTTCTAAAGAAGCTTTCCAATATGTGGCAAGCTGGTTCCTAGAACCTGGGACTTGGAGAGAGCCGGGCTGTTCATACACACTACCCTCTCCTCCTGGACCCTGTCCTTGACCTCCCTGCCTGGGTGAGATGGAATTCCCGAAGATGTGACCTGGGAAGTGTGGACCTCCTTAGGTGTAAGGGATAACTGAGGTCTCCAAATTCTGCTCCTTTTTCCCTTTGGCACAAACTGTGTTGGGACAAGGAGAGCTGAACAAGCTAGTTCTCCTGGGTCGCCTTTCAGTGGGGCCGTCTCTTTAGGATGGAAATGACTAGAGAGAGATTCCTGTTCCCTTAAGACTTCAACATGAGCTATTATTTTTGCCCTTTCTTAATGTCGGCTTTTCTCTCCTCACTGGGGCAATGCCCTGCCTCTTTTTAAACCACCTCTCTGGAGTGAGCTTGCTGCCAGTGCACTGGCTGAACTGTGGGATTTCTCTTTGTCCATCCCCCTTTAAAAAAATTGCTGATACTGACACCCTGGCTGGTGTGGCTCAGTGGAATGAGTGCCAGCCTGTGAACTGAAAGGTCGCCGGTTCGATTCCCAGGCAGGGCACATGCCTCGGATGCAGGCCTGGTCCCCAGTTGGGGCTGTGAGAGAGGCAACTGATCAGTCTTTCTCTTGCACATCGCTGTTTCTCTCCCTTTCCTTCTCCCTCCCTTCCCCTCTCTCTAAAAATAAATAAAATCTTCTAAAAAACTGCTGACACTGAAAAATCCGATTTCCTATTAAAATCTGGATCACGGGTTTCCCTGATCAGACTGGGAGATTCTGCTGCGGGCACCTGCATTCTCACAGGCACCACCAGGCTGGGGCTGAGCAGCAGCTGCTCCTGCCGGACGGGTCATGTGTGTGCCGGCAGCCCACAGTCCCCACCACTCCCTACTGTGCTAACTGACAGCTTCACTCCTCGGTGTCAGTGTCCCGGACCCCACAGCCACTTGTGACCTCGACCACAGGGAGCCTCTTTGATCCGGCGGGGCCTTTGCCAACAGCTGTCTCTAGTATAACCCCGTTTAGATGCTGCCTGGGAGCTTGGGTCTTGAGTTACCCAATGAACCTGGTTGTGAAAGGGTCTTTGCTCACACCCCACACCCAGCAGCTACTGCTCTCCTCTAGTCTGCACTTTCTCCGCAAAGGGATCCAGGTTCCAGCCCGTGACCTCCTTGCACTTGGAAACTAGAGAACCAGAAGAAAGCACAGGCCACACAACACAAACATATGCCCAGAGCAGCTACAGTCTGCACCTTTTGTGGGCTTGTGCAGCCTTGCTCAGCTTCTCTAAACTCCACTTCCATTTTTAAAAGTTCAGCTAACACTGGGAAATGAAGTCAGAATGACTCCTGATCTGATCAGAAAGGCCTTTCTCCAAAGGGAGGAATGGGTGCGCGTGTCAGAACACGGGGGCCCTGGGAAGTGCTCACACTCTGCCTTCCAGACGTGGTGCTTCGTGCATGGCCTGGGAGGTGGGGCCTGGGAGGGCCCAGTGAGGAGGAAGTGCCTTCTGAATTCCCTGTCCACCCGGATGTCAATTGCACTGGCTGTGTGCCACAGACTATGGTATGCTTCCTTCCCCACCTCAAACTGACCCCAAGTCCCACCTTTCAGTTTGCCCTAAGTCCCAGGACCTGGCCACTGACTCTGCCCCCAGTCACTATGCTTCTGCGGACTGGAACAGGGTTTCCGAAGACCCGAGTCTCCTGTTTTTAAAACCCTCAGGCAACCATTGCTGAAGGCTACCAGACAATGGCCTCTAACATAAATCATTCTCAGGCAGATTTAAAAAATCAGTTAAACTATTTTCCCCTGGAAAAGATCACTTTTTCTCATAATATTCTAGGTTTTGTTTGCAATTCTGTCTCTCTCTCTTTTAACCAAATGTAACATCTGCAGTTATTCTCTGTCCAGAAACAAAGGACATTAAGGAACAGCTGGGTGACGGCTCAGTGTTCCAGAATTCTCTTCAGGGAGTGAAGATTAAAGCCCAGGACAGGGACAGGGTGGGAGTGTCCCCAGGGTAAGCCAGCTTCTCCACTTGTCCCAGGGTGGGGACAAAAGTCAGCCATGTCAGTGGGCGCAGGAAAGCCGTGTGGAAGCCAGCAGGCACACACTATGCACAGAGGTGCGTCAGGGCTGGGCCCTCAAAGCCACTGCAAATCACTCTGTGAAAACTGCGAGTCCTGGGGGCCTGGTGAGGAGGGTGAAAGGAGGTTCCCCAGGAAGCTCTGACAGGCATAGGGACAATGGCCAGAGGCAGAAGCTAGGGGCAGGAAGAGGGTGTGGCTCAGGCCTCCCAAAGCTTCTAAGTCCATCTGGAGATCACAGGGGCTTTCTGAGAACGCCACTCTGAGGTTCCTGAACCACTGTTGACAGTGGCCATCTCCTGGGCTCTCCTGGCCTGGTCTGACCGCCTACCCTCTTCCTAAAGTGGATTTGATTTTTCCTCCCAGGCTTGGAAGCGGCCTGTTTCCCTCTGTCACTTTGTCATGTTGCATGAAGCTTCATGGTTAGACTGGCTGAAGAAGGTCAGCAAGGGAGGAAGCAGGGACGGCCCAGGCTCTCCCTCTACAAATGGTGAGCCAGTCCTGCCCCTGTGCCTGGGGTGGGGTGGTGTGGGGATGGCTCAGGAATTCCAGCACCCCCAGAATTGGAGGCCTAGATGAGGCCAACACCTGTATGAGGAAAAGCGAGGCTCCAGCGTTCCCCAGGTTACCCCACGTCAGCCAGTGGATGCTGCTGGTTGAAGGGTTCTCTTCCTGGTGTCCAACACCCCTGCTGCCCTGAGGACATGGAGACTGTAGGGCAGACACACAGAAAGAAACAGAGAGAGAGAGGGACAGAGAGAGAGAGAGACACTCATGGGTAGAGAAGAGGAAGAGGGAGGGGAAGGGCTGGTGGGGGGCCTTTAGTGAATAAAGGCAGCTTCAGTTAGTAAGATAACATAATTGACAAGCTGCAAAAACAGCACCTACTAATTAGTCATTGACTAAAACATATAAATAATAAATACCTAAAGTGTCCTTTCTCTATATCCTCCATGGCCCATAGGACATCCTGCCTTGGTGGGGGGGGGATGGGGTGGTTTCGGGGGCAACAGCTGAAAGGTCATCAGAGGGAACTACAGTACCTTCAAACTCATGCAGGAGAGACACACCAAGGATTGGCTCCCCTGGGAACGACAGTTTGCAACCAGGGCTGGGACTCTGTCCATGGGAACCCTGTCCATTGGGGGGAGGGTGGGATCAGGGGAGGATGGGACCTTTGGGGGGCTCTCAGAGGAGCAGGGAGGGCCTCCAAGGGGCACATGGCAAGGAAACCCTCCAGGTTTCTGGTAACTTGGGCCATATGAATAATATGATTGTTTAGGTTTGAAACCACCAGATACTCAAGCTTCTCTCTTTTACACTGTATGTCAGATGGGTTTCTTGGCATCTCAGATAAAGAAGGGCATGAATTTAAAAGCCAAATCGGAAGTGCTTTTTCCTTGATGTGGCAAGTCTGGTCCACGCGATTTGGCTACTCCCAACAGCATCGAGTGTGCGGTTGGTTCACGAAGCTCTGGGCGCCTGACCTCAGAACGGAAAGGCTCAGGCAGGTGATGGATACTGCTGCGCTGTCTGGCCCAAACAATCTCTATATGAGTTTCATGGCCATTGACCCCTGTGTTCCCACTGTCAAGGATCAACAAGGTCATGGTCTTGGTCTCCTGGCTCATGAGCGGCTGGAGACTCAAAGTTCTTCATCATCCCATTTTTCCTTGAGGGAGGGTGGCCTGGAACCCAGGACACTGGCAGTCACAGTTCGGTGGACCTCAGTGATGTCACACCAAAAGGCTTTCTTGCTCATCTAGTTGCTAAGAACAGCTCCAGGGTGGGAAGCTTCAAGCCACCCACCCTCCCTAGAGAGGGGCTCATGAGCATGACTTTCTGTGGCCTGTCATTTCAGGGCTGGCACGAGGGTGTCTTGGACCAGAGGGGTGGAATGATGAGCCGAAGGGTGGGGCTGTGGATCAAACCCACCGTCTGGGCAGTGCTTTTCAAACTGGGTTTTGCAGAGCCCTTAGGTTCTGAAGAGGTACCTCAGGAGATGCCCTTGGCAAAGGGGCTGCCCAGTGGGCTGAGCTTTGGGAAAGAACCTCCCTCTCCCCAGCTTCAACCAGAGCAGCCTGGATTTCATCTGAGCCTCAATTCTACCCACAGCTGCTCTCAGTAAACAGAGTTCTGCTGCTCAAAGTAAAAGTTTGAGAATTACTTGTCTGGGGGGTTGGGTCTTTGGAGGGGGAAGACAAGGACCCTGTAGGACTTGAGGATCAGCCAGAAGAGGTAAGACCACACCCCCAGGAGCCAGCTTGCCAAATGCAGGTTATCAGCAGATCCTGCTTTGGCCTCAGAACCTCCCTTCTCCATTATTGTATGGCTAGGAGAGCCCCTCCCACAAAAGGTACCCCCTGGGTGGGAGGCCACGGTCCAGGCCCCACCAGCCCTCTGGCTGTGTTCCCTTTGACATCCGCTGGGACCCACGCATGCCTGGTGCTACCTGAGCCGGCCATCAGGTTTGACCGCCCCCAGCTCTGACTTAGGGTCAGGGCTGAAGGAACTCCAGGCCGTCTGGCTGCAGGTCTGCATGACCGGGCAGGCAGTGGGGCCTGTGGCACAGATGTCCATGGCGGTCCACATCCCGCCAACCAGTGAGTCCAGCCAGTGCTCCAGTGCAGTACCGGTGGAGGCTGCGTTCTTCTGAGCCTGCTCCACCTGGGCAGGGCTGATGGGCAGGCTGAGGACGGGGTTCAGACTCTGGAAGCTCTGCTCCATGTAGGCGCTGCGGTGTGGCCCGTTGTGCAGCTTTAGTGCCTCCTCTGAAAGCAAAGGGAACCATGACATTATTAGGAGAGCCACAAACCCGGCACCTACTGTGTGCCCAGCACCATGCTGGGCACTGGTGCAGTACCACTTAATTCACAGGACAATCGCATCAGGAAGTTATTTTTGCAGTCCCGTTGTACAGGTGAAGAAACTGAGCCCACAACAGTTGGGAGCCTATGTTAGAGCACAGCAAAGTTCATTTACTCATTCAGCACATATTTAGACAGCACCTCCTACAGTCCAGGCATTCGCTCGTTCATCTGATAAAGATTTATTAAGTGCCACAGTCTATTATATGGGGTGCAAAGAACCAGACAGTCAAGGAGACTGCAATCCAGTAGGTTATCCTGATGACGACAAATGAATAAACAAGTAAACAAATAAGGTTGTTTCCATTAGTGATAGGTGTCATGAAAGGAATAAATGGGCTACTGAGTCAGAGCAGGGGGTTGGCTCAGTATGGCCCTCGGGCCATATCTGGCCCCCAATCTGTTGTTGTAAATAAAGTTTTTTTAAATTTTTTTATTTTTTTATTGATTATGCTGTTACAGTTGTTCTATTCCCCCTTTATTCCCCTCCACCCTACCCCCCCATCCCCACCATCACCCCCCCTTTAGTTTATGACCATGTGTCTCAAGTCCTTTAGATTCTATATTTCCCATGCTATTCTTGCCCCCCCATCTATTTTCTATCTACTGTCTATGATACTTATTTTCTGTACCTTCTCCCCCCTTCTCCTCCTCCCACTCCCCGTTGCTAACCCTCCTCGAGATCTTCATTTCTATGTTTCCACTCCTGATCTAGCTGTCCTTTTAGTTTGCTTTCGTTTTAGGTGTGGTTGTTAATAACTGTGAGTTTGTTGTCCTTTCACTGTTCATGTTTCTTTAACTTCTTTTTCTTAGAGAAGTCCCTTTAACATTTCATATAATAAGGGCTTGGTGATGATGAACTCCTTGAATTTGATCTTATCTGAGAAGCACCTTATCTGCCCTTCCATTCTAAATGAAAGTTTTGCTGGATAGAGCAATCTTGGTTGTAGGTCTTTAGATTTCATGACTTGGAATACCTCTTTCCAGCCCCTTCTTGCCTGTAAGGTCTCTTTTGAGAAATCCAGCTGACAGTCTGATGGGGACTCCTTTGTAGGTGACTGTCCCCTTAGCTCTTGCTGCTTCTGGGATTCTCTCCTTCATTTTAATCTTGGCTAATGTAATTACGATGTGCCTTGGTGTGTTCCTTCTTGGGTCCAACTTCTTTGGTACTCTCTGAGCTTCCTGGATTTCCTGGAAGTCTATTGCTTTTCCCAGATTGGGGAAATTCTCCTTTATTATTTGTTCAAATAAGTTTTCCACTGGTGGCTGTTCCTTTCCCCCTTCTGGTACTCCTATAATTCGGATGTTGGAGCGTTTAAAGATGTCCTGGAGGTTCCTAAGACTCTCCTCATTTCTTTGAATTCTTGCTTCTTGACTCTTTTCTGTTTGGCCATTATTTGCTTTCTTCTGGTCCACTCCATTGATTTGAGTCCCAGTTTCCTTTTCATTGCTATTGGTGTCCTGTGCAATTCCATTCATTTCAATTAGTTTCGCCTTCATATATTTGTCTAATTTGTCGGATCCTCAGTTCTGTGAGGATCCTGATCACCAATGTTTTAAACTGTGTGTCTGTGAGTTTTGCTATTGCTTCATCACTTAGATTTATTGGCTCTGGGGCTCTGAGATCCTCCTGCACCATTCTTGGTCTGTTCGGGCCCTTTAAGTATGAGAAGCGGCGCCTTGGATTCCCAGGTCGCTGGGTTGTGACGCTGTATGTGGGGGCGTGGCCAGAGCAGGGAAATGGCGACCCCCTCTGCCGCTTCTCACAGCTGGGTGCGGAGGAGCAGTGCCTTAGGTGGTTCCCCTGGGCCGGGCCACTCAGAGTCGCTGGGTTATGACGCTGTATGTGGAGGTGGGGGTCACAGCAGGGAAATGGCGGCGCCCTCCACTGCTGCTTGCCGTGGGGACCTGCCGGCCTGGTCCAACCGCCCACTCCCTCGCCTGTCCACCCTTGCACAAATGCGCGACCTCAGTCAACACGCAGCCCCGGGCCCGGCTGTCTCCCCCTCTCACTAGGTCTGACCCTGCGCCTGGATTCCGCGGGCCTGAGTGTGTCTGGCCGAGTCCTCCTGTGCAACCCTGCTCCGCCAGCCGCTGGTTTCGCCCCTTACCGGTCAGGCTGAAGAATTTGTTGTTAACGGACTTCCGAAAAGTTCAATTTTCCGTGTTCTGGCTGTGTTTTCTGTTGCTAATATTTAGTTTTCTCTAATCTTGGTTGTGTGAGAAGGCACGGCACATCCACCTATGCCTCCATCTTGGCGGAAGTCTTTGTAAATAAAGTTTTATTGGAGCCTGGTTATGCCCATTTGGGTAGATACTGTCCCTGGTTGCTTCTGTGCTATAACATCAGAACTGAGTAGTTGAGGCAGAGATTGTAAGTGGCCCGCAAACCCGAATATGTTAACCATTTAGCCCTTTATAGTAAAAGCCTTCCAATCTATGGGATAGAGAGTGATATGGGTATTTATTTAATTTAATTTAGTATTATTTTTTGCTTTTATGGATTCCAGACAGAGGGGAAAGAGAGGGAGAGAAACATCAATGTGAGAGGGAAATATTGATTGGTTGTCTCTTGCATGCTCTCCAACCGGGGATGAACCCACAGCGGGGCATGTGCTCTGAGCAGGAACAGAACCTGCTACCCTTCGGTCTGAGGGATGATGCCCAATCAACTGAGCCGCACTGGCCAGGGCAAGGGTGTTTATTTTAGATGAGGTGAGCAAGGGAGACCCTGCTGAGGAGGTGACATATGTGCTGAGAGCTGATTACTGTGAAGGAAGAAAGAAGCCACATACAGATCCTGGGGAAGAGGATTCTGGACAGAGGCAACAGTGACCACAAAGCCTCATTAAGCATCTTTTGCAAAATCACATAGGTAATGAGTTAGAAGCTGGGGTTTGAAGTAGGTCTGCTGATCTCAAAGCCTGGTGAGAAGCCCTGCTCTTGGCTGCTGAGTGCCCACCATGAACTCTGCATAAGCCACGATTTCTGCTTTGGTCCCAGACATGGTGCATGAACAGCCCATAGGGAAGTGTCCTGGAAAGCAGGATGACTGGACCAGATAGGGTGGGGTGGGAGGTCCCACTGGCTCTCACAGCTCTGCCTCGTTGAGCATCTATGCCTCAGGCAGAGCACAGGGACCTCAGTCAGATCGTCTGGGTTTCAGTCGCCACTGAGTATCCCACATATTAGGTGTGTGACTTCTGACTTCAATGCCCAGTGCCTCAGTTTCCTTATCAATAAAATGGGTGGGGTACTATTACCTTCTTCATAGCTTCATGATGAGGAAATGTGCTGACTCACACACAGTACTTAAAATGGTGCCCAGTATATACTAAGCACTTGGAAAGATTTAGCTAGAATGACTATTGTTGGTATTAGGACACAATAAACACACACACTCAATGTACACAACTATCAGGCTGGTGGCGTTATACCCATTTTACAGACAGGGAAACAGGAATACTGTATTAGAGACAGATCTGGGGTTATATCTAAGACAGGCTGACTACTCCAAAGCCAATGTTTGTCCTCATGATAATCTGCTGCAGGCTCATCCACCATCTGGAAGCTAAAGCGATACTTTTGTTTTTGATTTTTTTTCATCTGGGAGCCAGTCTTTCAAAGACTTGGTTTACCCATCTGTAAAAAGGAGATACTCATACTCATCCTTACATGAAGTGGACCCACTGGGCTGGCAAGAGACTCAGATTGAAGTTCATGTGCTTTGTCAACAGGAAAGGAACATATAAACAAGAGGCACTATGACTACTTCCAGGACTTAACTATGAGTAAGCAGAAAGTGTAGCCATTTGGGCCAAAGGAAAGAAGCCAGCCATTTCTATTTTGAAGAAGTTCTTACTCATTGCTTATTTTATTGTCAAACACAACAATATGTATAATTAAAACACCAGCTAATGATTCTGGTGAGAATTAGAAGAAACCTCCTTATGAGACAAAGTGATGTTCAAAAGACAACACTTCCTGCTTGCTTGACAGTGCCTGTCACCCTCGGCGGCAACCAGGACAGCCTGAAGAGTCAGCAGATTATTTTTCTAATATGTGTGGCTGGGAGTGAGGAAGGAGGAGGAAGAAAGACCATATATATATATATGTCTGCTCTTCTAAACACAATGGGAAAACAAGTATAATTAAAAATATGCCTTGACTCACACAGACAAGAAAGTCACTCCTGTTTCCAATGCTTCAGGATGCTGAGGGGCTGGGCGCTGTGCTTTGGAGGGCAGCAAGTGGGAGAACGGAGACCAGCAGGCACCAGCATGTACCTTGTCTTGCTGTGATTCAGCAGAGCTTCTCCCTTTCAAGTTAGGTCAGTCCCTGTCTCTATCAGTCTGGGCCTAGCCCACTGCTCCCTAAAACTGGCAGACAGGGTGGGCAGCTCCTGTATCATTTTCCAGAGCACAGTCTGTTGTCTTTGGTGCAGGTCTCATTTCTCTACTTGAGCCTCTCAGTGCCTCCATCTTGCAGATGGGAAGTGGGGAGACACCCAAACCAACAAAGCACAGGGCACGCAGAGTGAAGAGAGCAGACACGGCCCTGGCCAGGGGGCTCGGCTGATTGGAGGCTTGTCCCATACACCAAAAGGTTTCGGGTTTGATCCCTGGTTGGGGCACACATGGGGGGCAACAAACTGACGTTTTCCTCTCATATTGATGTTTTCCTCTCTCTTCCTCTCTCTCTAAAATTAATAAACACATTCTTAGGGTGAGGATTTAAAAAAGGAGAGAGCGCAGCTAACAAACATCTGAACAGCAAAGACTGTGGTTGGTGCAACAAACCCTTGTGAAAAGTGAGGTTAACGTGGGGTGTGCTCGTACAGCATCAGCCTGCCGTGCTCGCCTCTGTAATTAAATTTCCCTCAATTCCACCTCATCAGATTTCTTGAGATTACTAGGGACGCATCAATAGCAAATTACTCTTGATGAATCATTTTACAAATTGCATGGCTCCCACCTTCATGTTCCCTGCCATTGGAGCATCGTTACCAGATACAATTACCAGCAGCAGAGGGAGGTGAGGGGGTGCCCCCAGCAGGGTAAGATGACCTCTGGCTCATGCTGGGCACGGATGGGAAAAGCCTTACCCTCCTCAGAAACTCCAGAAAAAAACTGGAAACCTCAGAACCCAATGAAGGGCCCCAGGCTGTTTAACTGGGCTGGGGGTGGATTCAGGACCACTCCTTTGTTCTGTCCAGCAGGTACATCCGACACAGAGGAGGCTGCCCTTTCCAGCACTCTCCTCCACATCTGACTGTGGGAAGCCTGAGGGGTGTCAAGGACACGAGCCAGATCAAGGGACACTTGAGGGCCCTAAGTGCCTGGGCACTGGCCCAGACAGTTCTGGAGGAGCTGTCTTTTGCCTGTTTCAGAGAGACGTGGAGGAGCAGTCTTTCATCTCCAGAAAACACGAAGTCTCTATCTGTCTGCATGCTCAGCACAGAAACTTAGCAGAAGTCGACAGTTCACTTCAACAGGCCCTTTGTTTGGAACTCCAGGCACCCCCTCCCCATATCTGTGTCCCCCTCTCCTTGTACCACTGGCTAAACGGCACAGCTCAGAGCTCTTAGCTAACAGAGGCTGTCATCGTTTCCGGCTTCTGGGTTTGCAGAAATCCTGTTTCTAGGAATCTATCTTATGGATGTATCTGCACGGGCATGTATAGCTTTAGGTGCAAGAATCTTCTTTGCAGTGTTATCTATGACAACAAGGGCAGAAGCTATGTGTCTACTGATGGGGACAGACAGATTGGGGCTCCTTAATCCAAGGGAATGGTCTGCAGCTGGTGGCTTTAGCTATGCTGATTTGGAAAGTGGACAAAGCAAGTTTTACTATAAAATGTATCGTTCTGTCTTTACAAAACGACAATGTTGTGTGTTTAGGTGTATATGCTTTAAAAGCACTGAGAAACCTCTAGAAGGATGCACACCAAGCTCTTGGCCATGGTTACTCCTGGAGGTAGGACTGAATGGGCAGGAAGACGTTGCCAGTGACAAAAGGAGAGGAGGAAACAGAAAAATAAAAGTAGCCCTTTTGGATGAAAGAACAAAAAGGCAGGCATGGCAGAGGTCGGATATCCCTCTCTCTGCCCTCCGCTCAGTGGAAGTCACCATCCTGAACTGTATTCATAATTCCCTTAATATCCTCTCCGTTTTCTGCAGACACATGAGTCCTGAACGAATATACTGTTGGCTTGTTCTGGTTTTAAACACCTGAACCATCATTATGATTCCTTCCACAGTGGTTTCGAGATCCATTCAATGTCCGCTCCTCAGTGTTCACTGCTGTGTAGAACTCCACTGTCTGCCCAGGCCACATACTGCTTTTCCACTCAAGCGGCAGACATGTGGATCCTTTCCAGTTTAGTGGTGTTACGAACATCTCTGCTCCATTTCCACCCAGGTCTCTACTGCACATCCCTAGGGGTGGAATTTCTGTGGGGTGGGGTGCGTGTGTGTTGAGTTTCCCGAGGAGATGCTAAACCACTTCCTAAGCTCATTTCATCATGTTAGCCTCCCAGCAGGCGGAATGGACGGTTACTAACCTCCAGCCTTCCTGCCACGATGAGACGCATGCTGTCCAACCTTCCGATGCCCCCCAACAGGAGGGGGGTGGAGCGGGGTCTCTTTTTGCTTTTAATTTATATTTCTCTCATTATTCATAAGGCTGAGCACATTTTTATATGTGTGTGGGCCATTTGTGCTCTTTTTTTCACAACAGATTAATAATCATTTTTCTATAAAAGGCCAGATAGCCAATAATTTTGGCTTTGTGGGTTGTGTAGCTTCTGTCACAACCACTCCACGATGCCGTTGTAGCCCCAAAGCAGACAGAGTCACTGCGTAAGCGAGTGGGCGTGACTGTGTCCCAATAAAACCTTATTTTCAAAAATAAGAAGTGGACCAGACTTGGCCTGTGCCTTATACCTTGTCCTGATTTATGTAATCTCTTTGTATATTCTGAATATGAGCACTTTTTTATGTGCTCAGTACATATTTTCCACTAGGATGTTGGCATGTCTTTTCACCTCCTGCAGCGATTTTCAACATTTTTCACGTCATGGCACACATAAACAATTCTGTGGCACACCCCCAAAAAATTTTTTTTACTGATCTGACAAAAAATAGGTATAATTTTGATTCATTCACAGCAGATGGCTGTTGTGTTGGCTGCTGTCATTTTTTTTACTTGAGAATGTTAGAGAAAAGAGGTCAGTGCCCCTGACGAAGTAGTCAGGTATTGCAGGTTGTAAAAGCCTTGTGGCACACCGCTTGAAAATCGTTGATCTTGTGCATCATGTTTTTGACAAACAGAATTTCCTCTTTTAATTCTTATTTTTTAAACAGTGAACAAGATTTGCTAAAACTCAATATCTGCCTCAGTTTATTTTCCATCTTGTCTTCAATACGATCAGGGGCCTTCTGGGAGCCCAGTGGGAGAGCATCTAATAAAAAAGTATCTGATTTATGGACAGATGACATCACCTCAGTATGTAGGTGGAAAAGCACATATTGAGAGCAGAGCGCATTGTTCTCAAAAGTGGCCCCCTCTCCCCACTCTGGGCAGCCCTGCCTGCTCAGGCCAAGAGCCCATGAGGCCTCTGGGATGGAACAGCTCCCCCACTTGAGACACTGGGAATACTCACCCGGCTTGATGGGCTGCCTGTTGGAGAAGGTCAGAGGTGCGATGAGGAATTTGGTCTCTGCAACTGGCACCCAGTGGTGGAGAATTTTCACTGTCCACACCCCAGGCCTCAGAGGCAAGTTCAAAGGGGGCTTGTAGTGGGTAAACTCAGCAGTGGACTCAATCAGGATGTCATAGGTGGCTGCGATTATGTTGACGGGATCCACCCAGACGACGGTCACAGTGACGTTGGGGCCCTTCCCCCACTTCTGCATGCCCACTGGCTCATCCATGGGCCCCAGGAGACCCCCAAAGTTTCGGAAGAGCCGCTCCTTGGCGTCCCAGTCAGTGCCGACCTGAAACAAAGAGGGAGTCCTGAAGTCACTGAGCCTGCCCACGGGTGCTGGGTTCTGGAAAGTCCTAGGGTCCTACTTACTGGGTTTCATGTACTCATTTTGCAGATGAAGATATGGCGAAACTGAGGCTCCACTTATGCGCTCAAGGTCAAACAGGCAGTGAGCAGAAGATTTGGGATTTGGACCCAGGTTGGGAGATTTCAAGGCCTCTTGTGCCCGGTACATGATATATGTGCTTTGGGAAAAAATGTGCACTGAATGAATGACTGCTTGCAGGCCATTCCAAGGAATCATACCCCCTGCCATTCAACAGGTACAGCTGGTTTCCGCTCTGCTCTTTGCTTTCCCAGATTGTGTGCCTCCATTTAGTGTGACTGTTCTGAGTAAGACTGGAGCTCAGGTTTTGGAACTGCTATGTCATAAACCAGAAAAAGAGTGAGTCCCTCAGCATCACCTGTCATTGGCAGGAGTTCACATGGGCTTTCTGAGGAAGAGACAGCTCTGGCTTCCATAGAGCTCTCTGAGCCGCACCTGAGGGATGGGAGATGGTTGTACAATCTGTCCCTCCTGTCAGCCGGTGAATTCATGGCTTTGACCCTCCACGAATCCACTCTTGCTTTTTTCCCCCTTCCACTTTCGTCACCTGCGGTCTGGTCTCCACACGATTAGCCAAAGAGACCTTGTGAACTATCCTCAGACCGCTCGAATCCCTGTGCCTGGGTCCACTGCTGTCTCGTGGTGCCTCGCGCTGTGCTTGGCATGCAGCAGGTGCTCAGTCAGTAACCGCTGAGTGAGTGACTTGACAAAAAAATGAGTGAACTGCAGGATCCCTGATACTGAGCTCTGTTGCTGTTTCAAATCAAATTAAATTAGGGCCTTCTGCTCCCTAGGAGTTTTAATTTAATGCTTTTGAAGACACAGCATGGGCCACACTGGTAGCAGATAATGAGCACACTATAAGGCTTGCACTGCTTCTGGGGTCATTCCATGACCAGCAGTTCCAATGCGTATGCCTGTAGGTCAGGGTGCAGGTGAGGGCGTAAACATCTACACCCTGAGAAGAGCCCACATGCACGGTGCAGGCGGGAGCTGGTTTCCCTTCTCCTTGCTCTCACCATGAGTCACTGTGTCCACTCTCTCCCCAGAACAAAGAGCTACACGGTTAATATGTACCAAGGGCTCATGCCAAGCATAATGCTAAATGCCTAGATGCATCAACTCATTTAACACTCACTTCCAGCTGCACAAAAAAGAGACTCTTGCCATTATCCCCATTTTACATATGAGGAAACTAAGGCTCAGAGCAGTTAGATAACTTGCTATGGTCAGTGAGGGGCAAAGTCACAGAGGGATACAGGAAGTCTGACCCCAAAGGCTGTGTGTGTTCTTATCTACTCTTCTATGTATTGCCTCCCATTCATTAACTCACTCACACACTCACTCATTCATCCATTCACTCACCACATATGGACCACACGCCTATCAGGGGGACTGTTATGTGGCATGCACATTCACAGGCCCACAGCTTGCTTCAGGCTCTGTCTTTAGACCACAGCCTAAAGAGTGGTCCTAAAGGTAGCAGAGGAAGTGACTGCTGTGACATTTCTACAGGGGCACCATCCATCCCTCCCAGGCTTGCGAAGTCTTGGCATTTTTTGCCACCCTGTGGATCCCAGGGGCTGGCTGTTTCTGAGGACCCCTGGTCCCTAGTGCACTGGCTGGAACATGGTAGCAATCAAAAGATACTACTGACTGGAAAAAAATAAATGAGTAAGTGAGCAGGAATCAGGCTACGCCTGAAAGTCTTAGAGATTTTCCTAAAGAAACCTCATTCCACATGCAACTCTTTTTAGTATCTCATTGTTCTTAAGTCCAGTCTCTCACTGCCCTGTGAGGTCTGGTCCTTTTGGTTCTGCTCTCTTTCTGCCCTCTTCTCTCCCCTCCAATCGCCACACCCCCCAACTACAGAAAACCCTTAGTGCCTGGAGAAAGGCTCGCTCTCACCTCTGATCTTGCGTCCATGCCCACCTCTCTTTGTACAGCCCGCCTTACTTTTCCCACCCTCTTCCTGACAAGCTCTTATTTATCATCCAGACCTCAGTCAGGGTGTCACCTGTACTGGGAAGCCTTCCTTGCTTAGAGGCTCCACTGAGGTACGGTACTTCTCTAAGCATTTGCTCATTGTAGTTCTTTTTGGGGGGTTGACAGTATTGCGACCTTTAATTTAGTCTTTCTCCCTAGCTCAACTGTCAACTCCAAGAGGGTAGAGACAATATCTGGCTTGTTTGTCAATGTATTTCTAGTGCCCACAACAGTGTCGAGCACAGAGTAGGTACTCAGTATATCTCTGTCTGCATTTATCTAATTACCCATTGACCTGCCCACCCATCATCTCTCTATGTCATGAATGATTAGGGGCTGAGCACCTGGACACCCGCACGCACCCAGGTCCTATGCACACTGACTTTCCCACAGGCACTGACAAATGGATTGATGGTTACAAAACTGCACGAGGGCTCTATTTCAGGAAGGGTTACAGACTAGTTAGGGGAGTGTGGGGACACTCCAGACATCATCCTTGGATCCTCCACAGAATTGGGGGTGAATAGATCTCTGAAGTCTGAGTTCTAAAACCAAAAGCACCTGGGTAGAGGGGTTGTAAAGTAGCTGACAGTGTGAAACCTAGATCTTGTTTCTAAGTTTTGAGAGGAGGAGGAAGTCAGCTGCAGCCCCAGTGTGAGGGAGCAGGGTCTGCCTGAGGTGGGGCACTGCTGCTGTCCCATTCTCACCATTGCTCTGGGAGTCTACACCAGTCACCACAAAGTGATCAATCGCTCATATTTAAGCACATGTTCAAGTTCAAGCTAAACATACTGCTCCCCCAGCTTCAAACCCACCAACGCCTTCCCATGACACCTAAAATACAATCCAAACTGATTCCCAGGGCCTGCAAGACTCCTCCGTCCCCTCAAAGACCTCCTTCCTGTCACTCTCCATCCTGCTCGCTGCACTCTGGCCACACTGGCCTTGCTGCTCCTTCAGTATGCCGAGCTCCTGCCCGGAGCCTCAGGGCCTTTGCTCGGGCTCTTCCAGATCATTTACAGTTTTCAGCTCTAAAATTATTTTTAGAAAAGCCCTCCCAAATGAATCATCCCTTTGAAAGTAGTCCTTGTCAGCCTCTTTAGTCCTCAGCAGTACATGCATGGCATTTTATTTTCTTCGTATAGAACTTGTCATTAGTTGAATTTTTTTTTCATTCATTTGCTCACTCTTTGGCTGCCCCACTTAGAGATCAATTCCATGACAACAAGGGTCTGGTCTGTCCTTTGGGCACCTCGCATATCATAGGCACTTGGTGACTCTACAAGCCACAAGCATGGGACTCCCACGGGATTGGGGAATCTATCTGAGCTGCCCACCTGCTGTGAGCCAGGCCCCCGTGCACAGCCCTGGGACTGTGACAACATGAGGGAGCTTCTCCACAGCCCACAAAGTAGTTCTGCTGTTCTTTCCCTTATTCTTGTCCAATTTTACATTTGCCTTAAAGTTAAGGCTTTAGAAAAAAAAATTGAAATGCAAGATTCAGAGCTCCTTGCATTACATGTTGGTAGTCTGCCAATGATCTTGGTGGCCGTCACACCAAGGGTACCATAGCTATAGTACGAATCCTCACAAATCACCAGCCACGAATGGCCAGCATCATTTGTCACTGCCAGAAGTGCCCAGTCTCCCAACGGCAGGCTGATAAACAGGGAGAGCCCAGTCACCAGGCATCCATCTCATTAATGGGACATTAATGTCTTCAATTGGCCGCTTGGGCACCCAGCACAGACTCCAACTGGGGCAGCATCTAATTGCCCCCTGGCACCAGTAATTTATGGAGTGGGCTCCCATGGCAGCTCGAATCCAGCCAGCCCATTCGGAGCCTTAATTGGAAATGGTGGCTTCACAAGAATTCCCGCCCTTGCCTGTTCACTACCTATTCGGTAGGGCACGGGTCAGCCAGGTGGGGCCAGAAGGGGCTGAAAAGAGGCCAGGTGGGACACTTAACCCCAGCCCACCCCCATCCCTCAAGATTCTGCACATTCTAAAATCGGCTCCTAAGCCAGAGACAAACTCATTGCAGGTGCTTAACTCCAGGAATGGATCATTGCTTTAGCCACTTGCTGACGTAGGGAAGGCAGAAATCCCAGGAGCAGTTTTGTGTGGGCAACCCTCACCAAACTTGACCGTGTTCCCCCTTCCTTCTAGTGTTACCAGCCAAGTGCAGGTACTCATTGAGTCAGAAATCTTTCTCAGCATCTACCAATGCTGCACACTCTTCTATGTGCTGGGGATCCAGCAGTGAGTGAGAGTGATACTGCCTAAGCTCTCTTGTGGACAGTCACCAAGTGATCAGAGAAACCAACAAGATGCCGCCGGATGGTAAATGCTAAGAGAAAAAATTAAAAAAGGGTGTGTCAGGTGGAGAATGTAGCTATTGTGGCATAGTGGCTGGACAGGGAAGGTACATCATTTAGATTTAGATCGGAATGATCCCATCCCCCTCCAACGGTGAAAACCTGCAGGAAAACACTCTAGGCAGGTAGATCAGCACACACCAAGCCTGAAGTAGGAACAAACTTGGCCTGTTTGATGAAGATACAACAAGCGTGAGTGGGGAGGACAGTGGTACTGGATGGGGCTGAAGAAGAAGGCAGGGCAGATCAGGTCTGGAGGTGGGGCTGATGTTACAAGGGTAGTGCTGGATCGATCATCTCCCCAGGCAGAAAAATAACTAAAAACTGGTGCTGTACTAGAGAGGTGGAAACTTCATTCCATGGATCTATGCACCCATGCACCAGCCCATCTGTCCAGTCACTGACACGTCCTCTGTCCATCCATCCATCTATCCATCTACCTGCCCACTCATCTGTCCACCCATATGTCCGTCCATCCAGCTATCTATTCATCTACCCATCCATTCAATGATTGATCTGGAACTTATTTTAACCTCAACCCTGTGCTAGGAACTGGGGAGAAAAAAAGCACAATTAAGCAGGGGATTTGCAGCCTAAAAGATCTTAGTTCAATTTTGAGCTCTGCCACTTCCTAGCAATGATTTAGAAAATCACTGAATCTCCATAGGCTTCAGTTTTCCAATATGTAAAATGAAACTACTGCCACTACTTCACTAAGAAACTGGTCTGTTATTGGTCTATTACTGACACAAATTTAGGAGAACTTAATAGGTAGAATTTAAAAAACTAAACAGAAATACTGCTACATAAAAAGAGACCAGGGCCCGGGGTTGGTTTGGTCCACTGTTCCTCTCCTCCTGCCTGGTTTAAGATGTCAGTTCCAGTGTTTTAAGCTGAAGAACCTTTTCCAGACACAGAGTGAGCTTATCTTTGGGGCTCTCCAAGTCCCCTTCTCCTCCATTTCCTATTACAGGTGTCAGATCACAGAGCAGGACCCAGCAAGGGGGATGCCAAAGGCAGGGAATGTGATAAGGTCTGGCCTCTTACCTCAGAAAACTGAAGCCTCCCAAAGTCACTGGGTGGACTTGCGATCTTGAAGACTTTCTTGGGCATCACCCATGTCTCCAGTGTCTCGAGTTTGCTCACTGCCAGGTTGGTAGCATGATGCTTGATCAGAAAGCCCTGGAAGCGGTCAGCAAGGAAGTAGAGGTGGACAGAGGCTGGGTGGCCCATTGGATAGTACCTGAAAAAATACACATTGTCACATAGGAGCTCATGGGTCAAGGCTGGAGATGTGCAGGCTCACAGTAGAGTGCCACCCATTATGCTGGACCTGTTCCTAAAATGAACCCCATGTTAGACAATGCTCATCATATTCCTGAAAGCTCCCACTTGTGTATCCATGATCTCAGTAACTATCAACAACAGCTTTTTGGTCGGTTATAAGTGTAAAGTATGCTAACTGTATGGAAGCATAATAGAGAAAATAAAAATTGCTATTTTTGATGCTTCTTTTCATAGATGATGTCAATTCACGGATATTTATTGACCCTCTGGTGCTAGGTACTGGGAAACAACAACAGTGTGCAAACAATGTCATGTTGACGTATTTCCCTTCAGCCTTATTTTCTATGCATATATTTGCATAAATCTTACAGAGCTGAGATCACAATATACATGTTTGTTACATCCTGCTTTTGCTTCATAGTATTTCCTGAGCATTACCATATGTTTCTGAAAATTCTCTGAAAACATGATATACATTATTCCACTATATGTAATGCCATATTTTACAAAGCAAGTTCCCCATCACTGGCTGTTTAACTGGTTTCTAATTTGTTTGCCAGTCTAAACAATCCTGCACTAAACATCCTTGAGCAAAAATGGTTTTTGGAACATCTGTCTCTCTAATCTCCAAAGGGTTCTCCATATACCTGCTGTCCAACTTTATCAAAAAGGGTGTACTGATTTATGCTCTCACTGTCTTTCTCAGTCACAGTATTAGGTATTATCCTTAAAAATTAACCCAAGGTTCATATATCCATACACAAAGAGGCAGCTGTTGTTTTAAGATGCACATCTTTGATCTAAAAAGGCTCACTGGGAGAAAGGGGCAGAAAAATTAAGCAGAGATGCCCCAGGAGGGAGCAAAGGGGGGGGAACTTTGGAGAAGCCCAGCTTTGTCTTTCCTACTTGTAAAATAAAAGGCTGCCAGCTTCCACAACGTGTAAATTGCACAGCACTTAGAGGGTGCTTGTGGCTCCTTAATAACAGCGTTCCACAAATCACTGTTCCTGCTCAGCCTCCTTCCTTCTGGTCCTGATCTGGAGCTTAAATCTTTATGTGTAATTATAATGGTTAGGGAAGCCGCCTTCCTGTGTTTACGCATCTCTGGAAATCACTGCCTAGTTACTGAGATGCCTCTGGGGCTGTGAGAAAAAAGTCCACACCCTTTTCAGACTGCTCGCTGGGCATTGCAGCTCATAAAAGCCTGCTGTGGGCCTGGACTCTGGGAGCAGAAAACCCTCACCCTGGACTGTGCTGAGGACCTTTGTGCTGTGAAGAGACAGTTTACAGCTGTGTTCTCCAATACAGTAGCCACTAGTAACCAGTGAGCACTTGAAAGGTGGCTGGTGTGACTGAGGAACTGACTTTCTTATTTCATTTCCTTTTTATTCAAACTTAAATACCCACTCACTGATGGCTAGTGGATACTATACTGGACAGCATAGACAGTTGTGGATGTCTTGTGGTCACCTGGGTCAATGTCTCCAGGTCTCCACCTCCCCTGTTTCCATGCTCCTTTCCATGTGGCTTTGCAGATTCCTTGCCCTGAGGAGGCAGAGTCTGTTTCCCCACTCCTGAGCCTGGTATGGCCAGCAGAAGGTGGTGGGAGGGGGCTCCTGCCCGCTCCCAGCCAGGCCTCAAGAAGCCTTGCACATTTCTTCTCTTGCTCTTTTGGAATGACAGCATGCCTTTGTAGACCAGGTGAGGATTTTATCATAAGCATTTAGCAAAACCACTTATGATACTTAAGCAGGGGATGATGGATATGGCTATTATGAGGTTATAGTGGACAAAAGTAGGAAGCAGACATAAAGAAGCTCCTGCAAAGGTCCAGGTAAGGCATGGTCATGGCTTGGACAAGAATGCTGGCAGTGCACAGGGGAGTAGAGGATAAATTCAGGTGGAGACAGCAGGATTTCTCGATAGAAGAAGGGGAAAGCAAGCAATCAAAGATTAACTCCTAGGTTACCTGGGAGCATGCCTGGGCTAGTCCACTGGAGGATGAGACACTGGGGCAGGGCAGAGTCACCCCCGTGGTCCCAGCCAACACCTCCGAGCCAAGAACAGGAGAGCCCTGCTCCCAACTTGCAGCAGCTGCATATTCAGGAGAGATGCCAGTTGAGTTCAGGTACACTGTGCAACTGACCTGCAAGCTTGAGTGCTACATCAGGTCAGTGCTTGTCATTCCAAAACACTAATTTCAGGCTTATTTGTTATGCGGCATTATTGCAGTAGCTAAATAATGCACTGCCAATGTTTGTTCTGTGAGGTCAGTGGGGTCAGTGGGAGTGGAAGAAGAAGAGGAGAGCTTGCTGGCATGGGAGTCAAAAGAAGAAAATGTTTGCAGAAGGGAGCAGTCAATCGTAGGGGGTGGACCTTGGGGGTCTAGGAGATGAGCAGTGGCCGAGCACTCTAGAAACCAAGGAGGTAATCTTTGATTGCTTGCTTTCCCTCCCCTTCTATTAAGAAATCTTGCTGTGTTCACCTGAATCCATCCTCTACTCTCCTGTGGACTGCCAACATCCTTGTCCAAGCCACCACCATGCTTCCTTACTTGTCTAAATCCTACTTTCATCCACTGTAACCTCAGAATAGCCATATCCACCATCCCCTGCTTAAATACCACAAGTGGCTTTGCTGAATGTTTGTGAAGAAATCCAAATGCCTCATCTGGTCGTCGAAGCCATGCCTTGTTCTCTGGCCTTATTTTGTTTCCCACTGCCCCTGACCACCACCTTCTAGCCACATGGACCTTGTTTGGGATTCTACACAGTCATTATTTTGGATTCTCGAACACGCTAAGTGCATTTCCACCTCAGGGCCTTTGCGTAGGATATTCTCTGTGCTGGGAATGCTCCTCTCTTAGACCACATGGCTGGCTCTGTCTTATCATTTGGCTTAAATGTTACCACTGAGATCTTCCTTGACTGGTGAATCTTAAGTCACCAACTCATGGCTATTATATGAATTTACCTTCATTCTCAGCAGGGCATTTATCCCTACTGATCTTGTTTACCAGTGCTCAGGCACTGTCTGTCTTCATAGACAGAATGAGAGGGCCTTGACCTCAGGGGCATGGCCTATCAGGGTCATGGCTGAGTGCCTAGAACCTAACACAGAGTCTGACACATGGCAGATGCTCGACCAATATTTGTTGATTGAGAAGAAAGAATTCTAGATGGATTTTCTCTTGAACCCATTGCTTCGGAGGTACATCTAGTATACACTCAACCCAAGACTGAACGAACATTAAGCCTTCTGGCACTTATATTGACTATATGGTACTCGTCTTGGCTGTATGGTAGAATTAAGTATAAGATAATGAGAACTAAGAAGGGAGTTTGTTTTAATTGGATGCATTGCAACAGAGCCTAAAGGATGCCACAGATGCATTCATTTTACCCGAAGGTGAGTTTTTTCTTATTTAAATAAGCAGACATTGAAAAAATAAGGGGACACTGAAAAAAATTAGGAGACTCACAAAAATATAGATTTCTGATTTGCCTTGAAAAATATCTGGCAGCTCAATGTTTACATTCCCACAGGGCAGGAATGTGCTGGAGCTCAGCACCAGGGGCGACGGGGGCTCTGGGCTGGCACGGTCAGCCCTCACTGCAGGGCCAGCCCTGCCTGAATGGCACATGCTACTTGCCTGGCCCAGGAGGGCATTTGAATTTGAGGACTTGTAATACAATACTGATATCTTTATCTCTGGAGGGTGCTCACAAGCAAACTTTATTTTCTTGTTCTCGCCATCTGCCATTTCAGAAATTTCTGCAATAAGCATGTGTTATTTTGTAATGAGAAAAAATCAATAAACATTATTTTTGTGAAAGGTTATACCACAGACTGGAAAGACACAATTTGCATTAAGTGCCCAAAGGAAACGAGACTCTTGAAAGGAAGTTTACACTTGCTGTTTCCCCAGATACCCTAGGGGTAGGAATTTACTGTTTTGCCTTTTGGGATAAGGGTCCTTTGTCCTGATGTATTTTCAGGCTCATATTCACAAATATATCGGCTTTGCCCACAGCAAGGCACAGTGGTTGTATTATAATAAAAAATGAGCAAGCAGTCAGAGGATTCCAGGCTGGAGGCACTTGAAGACTCACTTAACCCCAAAACAAGTACTGGAAGAAAATTTCAACAACCTCAAATAAACTGGGGGTGTCTTTTGGAATTTCCTATGAAATCATTTACCTTATAAATTCTAAGAAGCCTGGGATTAACATTACTCATGAAAGACATCCAGCTCCCAAGTGTGGCCCTGGGCTGTGTACTGGGAATCAGGCTGTAATTCTGCGAGCAAGGATGCTGCCCCAAGACCCGCAAGGGGACCAGATCCTCACTGTGGACTCTAACCAAAGGTACTGCTCTGAGTGCAATGGAAGGGCTGCAGTACGTAGGAGCTACTTTCAGCTTGGGAGAGGGAGGGGTGGGCTATCGGGGAGTGCTCGGCAAGCTCCACAGAGGATGTACCACTGGAGACAGCCCTTGAAGACTGGGAAAGCCCAGGCTGCTGTGGGGTCAGCGAGGGTGGTCAGCAAAGGAAGGCACAGAGGGAACAATGAGCAGGTCACATAACTGGTTACAGAGCATGTAGCTCACACACTAGGCTCCCTGTTGACTTTGGCAGCTTAATAATAATGGGATGAACATTTACTAAGCCCTTTGTATGTAAAACTGTTAAAATGGGGATAACAATAATACATATGATAAGGTTGTTTTTGAGGCCTATCTCCTTTAAACCTCATAACACCTTATGCTGTAAGGCTTATTATTATTCCCATTTCAAAGATGAGGAAACTGAGAGTCAGAGAGGTTAATCACTTGTCCCAGGTCAACAGGCAATGACGGAGAGTGGAAGTCTGTCTTCAGGTCCTGGGTTCCCAACCCACACTGGGCTTTCTGTTAAACTAAGTCGGAACCTGCAAGGGGAGGAGAGAGGGCTGAGGCCGTGAGGAAGCAAGGCAAAGCTGTGGCAGCCCTGCAGAAACCCAGCTGGCCACATGTGAGGTCCCAGTCAGGAAGCTTTTCCACATTTTCAGGATTGTAGGCCATAGTTCCTGAGAAGAGGGAAGAGTGGGCAAGGTGGGGCACATAGGGGAAGCCTCGGTGGAAAGAGACTGATTTTAATTTTTTTTTTCCTTAAAAATGGAGGAGGGAGGAGGAAAAGGGTGTACAAGAAAGAGGAGAGTGATTAGAGGCACTTCTGGAAAAACAGCCTAAAAGAATAATCGGAAGAAGAAAGAAGGGAAAAATGAAGAGGCATTCTGAAAAAAGATATTCATCAGGGTATTGTTTACAATGGCCCATCACTGACAATAGCAACAGGAAAGGACTGGATTAAGCAAACTCTGGAGTTTCTTTCTACTCAGTGGAACACTAGCAGAGTTAAAAAAGACTATCAGCATTATGGGAGCTGCAGAGCAGTTTGGGAGAGGGGGCTAAGGGGGCTAATGTTGCAGGACGCAGAATTCTCATTGCAAATACGTACATATCTGTGATGTACAAGGCTAGGGAAGAGAAGAATTAAGCCACACAAAATGAAAAGGACTCCCTGGCTTAGGGAAGGGCAGTGGAGGGAAGGGGGTTATGTTGAGTTATTTTCCTACCTTCCCCTCTTCTTTCTATACATTCTAGAACACTCTTTCATCAAGTGTCAACTGGTACCTGCTAGTGGCAGGTGAGATGATTCTAAGGGATACCTGAAGTTTTAAATAACAGTTTTGCATACTGATGATGTCTCTGGTTATATTTTCAGGTGTGGTAATGATAATATGGTTGGTTTTAAAATGGAGCCTTTACTTTTCAGAGACGTAAATGAACATGCTTATGGCTGACATGATGTGATGTCTGGGATGTGCCTCAGTCACACTGACCTGAGGGGGAGGAGGCGATGGAGCAAGCTCGGCGGAGCAGGTCACTGCTGGAGCTGGGTGATGGGAGCTCTGAATTTTAATATATTTGACATTTTCCATAATATAAAGTTTTAAAAAGTTCTGTATTTCCATGGTTACCTTCCATTTAAGACAAACAAAACTATATAATATGGTGATATAGGGCTTCTTTTCTAAAAAAACTCCTCACTTGAGGATATGCTTATTGATTTTAGAGAGAGACAGGGAAAGGAGGGGGAAGAGGGGAGAGAGAGAAAGAGATAGAGAAGAAGAGAGAAACATTGAATGGTTACCTCTCATGTGTGCCCCGACTGGGGATCAAAACCACAACCCAGGTATGTGCCCTGACCTGGAATCGAACCCATAAACTTTTGGTGCACTGGACAATGCTCCAAGTAACGGAGCCACCGGCCAGGGTGAGAGCCTCCCAAAATACATATGCTTAGCATAAAGAATGAGTCCAGAGAAAGGAAATAACTGGGTAAATACTACATCTGGTATTCTGAAAGTGTAAAATTCTGATGATGGCTTAGCAGGGACATGCTTTGAATGCTGGGATGGTTACATAAACACTTTTTAGGCAAAGGAAAAGAAGGAGAAGCACGAAGCAGAGCCCCTAATACAGAAGGTGATCTACACCCTCCCTCCCCGTCCAGTTCCTGTCCGCCGGCAACCCTCCACCCTCCATCATCCCCTTGGCTCACCTGCAGCTGTTCTCCCGGTCTGTGTGCAGCGAGTTCTCAGCCCGCCGGAGGCCCAGGCGGGCGAAGGCGTGGTACAAGGTGAGCGCCACGTCGCCCAGGCTGTGGATGCCATCGGGCTCATCGTAGACATTCTCCCAGTAGGAGCGGAGGCCAGGGGTGCCCGCAGGGTAGTTCCCGTACAGATAATAGTCCAGCTGCCCGATGACCTCCTGATTCACCGCGGCTTCGAACTTGCGGGCAAAGAAGGTGGGCCTGGCTGTCTGCTGTGCTCAAGGGAATAAAAAGATCTCGGTCAGTAGTGGGAGGGGGTGGGGGGCAGGGAGCACAGCTCTGCAGCCAGGTCGCCTGCCTCCAAACCCCAGCTCTGACACTCACTAACCTCCCTGTTCTCAGCTTCTTTCCCTGTAAAATGGAGACAATAATACAGGTGGCCAGGATGGAATGAGTTAATATTTGTAAAGCAGTTGGAGCAATGATGGGCATCTGGTGAGCATCGTTTAAATGTTTGTTAAATAAATTACATCCTAGTGTTTATAGCTGGGATGAATCTCAGATATTATTTAGCTGGAGTTCCAGGGCAAATATAGCCTACGGATATATTTTAATTGTCCAGCAGAGTGTTTTAAAATTAAATTAACTGGCAATATTTAAAAAGTAGGAGAGTTTGCAGAAACAATTATTGGCTTCCCTTTAAATAGAAATAGACCTAGCAACCCCAAACCCACATTCCTACATGGCAATAACTGGTTAAAGCGGAAAAGCAGTTGTCCCTTTAGACGGGTACAGTTTCTTCAGCTCACCACAGTCCCCAGCACTCCCTACTGCCTCCTGGGCACTGCAGCAGAGTCAGAATCTCTGGAGATGAGGTTTAGGCATCTGTGTCCCATAATGCTTCCCTGGTGATTATGATGCAGTGTTTGAAGACCATTTATGTAAGCCCAGTTTTCAAGGAGACTGAGGCCCAGAGAGGGAAAGGGACGTATTGTAAGGTCACATAGAAAGGTAATGGCAGAGAAAGGATTAAGATCGAGGATCCAGGATTAAAGAAATAAAACCATGAGCATCTGTTATCTACCAGGTCTTACACTATGGTCCGGGTGGTGACCAATAAACTTTTTTAGTAAAGGGCCAGATAATAAATATTTCCAGCTTTGCAACTGTTCACCTCTGCTGCTGAAGTGTGCAAATAGCCATGGGCAAAAATGGAAAATGAATGGGTGTGGCTGTGTCACAAAAGAATTTACAAAAGCAGGCAGTGGGCTGGATTTGGCCCAGATTAGTTTGCTGACTCCTGTCTAGGGCTACAGAAACCATCCAAACACCAGCCCCCTTCCCTTGAGGAGCTTATGGTCTAGTGTTGTTACCGACCCAAGTTTGCGTCTAGCACTGTTTTTGCTGCTGTGGATAAAAAGCGACAATAATAACTGCACTAATAATAATAGATGCAGGGCACTGAGGCTGCGGCATCACCTCTAATACTCCCAACAGTGCTGCAAAGCAGGTACATGATTCCCATTTTACAAATGAAGAAACTGAACTCAGAGAGGGGAGGTGATAATGTACAAACTCATACAGTCATAAGATTTGAACCTGAATCTGATGCCTCTCAAACCCAACTGCTTTCTACTTGCATTGTCCCAGGATCCAGCTACTAATGGAGTAAATTGAAAGCTCCTAATAACAAATACCTGTTGTATTATTCTGAACATCCCATTGCTTCTCTGCTTCATGAACCCTTGGGACCTCCTGCCTCTGTGGTCAGCTTGGTTCCCTTGCAGTAGTACTGAAAAGACACTACTGGGTTCAGATCCTCACTCTGCTACTTTCCAGCTGTATATGTCTTTGGGCAAGTCACCTGGGACCCCAGCTTCCTTGTCTTTAAAATGGGTATAATATGGGTACCTAGCATAGAGTCTGGTACACAGTGCTAGTTGCTAGTATTATGTGACTAGTATTACTTCCCCCTTGAGCCTGTTACCAGAGGCTTCCAAGTCTTTGTTTTCTGGGGGCAGAGAATCGAATTCAGGGGCAGGGCAGCCTTCTTTCCTCATCCATGAATTTCTGATCACCGCTGCATTTCAAAAAGGGCACATTTCTATATTTATTGTTCTCTTCTTCGAAGTTCCTTTAACAAGAACTTTGAGTTCCTTACAGGTAGCATTTTCTTGATTCTAGATGTTGGGGGATATTCTTGATCTTTGCTTACTGTGGAAGAATGAGCTGTGAGCACATGCTGTCTCTGTGTTTGCCAGTCTTTATCAGAGACCATGATGTCTGCGAGATGCTGAGGATGTAAGTGCTGTTGCCTGCACATGGCCTGAGAGGGCCCAGCTCCCAAGAACCACCACGGCTACCTGCTCTGAATGATGAGGTCCTTTGCAATGAGGGCAATGACTCTTCTATAAAAGGAGTCTTTTTTTTTACTCCTTTTCAACAGGTCAAATATTCCCCCTGCAACCCTCTTTTCAACAGATCCTTTCTGCATGGGCAATAGAGCAAAAATGTCACCCAAGTTAATGCCTAAATTGACATGGGCTTAAGGAGGTCCCTGGGTAGCTCTCAATCTGCCACCAGAAAAAAAAGTCTAAGAAAAGACTGTTGTAGCAACCACTTACAGAAGCGAAAGACGTTAGGTGGGGACCTCGAGGGATGAAGCCTGCTCTGTTCTGCACCTGTGCAGACATAAAGCCAGGAAGGCCTGGTGCAAAAAGCCCAGCATTAGAACTGGAAACATATGGGTGGGACCTTCAGCCCAGCTCCATTACATGTGTGTTCATGGGCAAGTAAGCTTGCCCCTCGGTGCCTCAGTTTCCCCATCTGCCCAATGGCAATGATGTCTACCCAGTAAAGCCAATGCCCACAGTGAGAGCCTGGAGGGGGCAGATCCACACCCTTGTGTTTCTCAAGCATACAGAGCCTTCCAGTCACCTGGGGATCTTGCTCACATGCAGATTCTGCAGCAGCAGGTCTGAAACTGTAGATATTCTGCATGCCTTATACACTCCCTGGTAACTCTGATGCTGCTGGTCCGTGGACCACACTCTGAGGAGCCTGGCTAAGAGACTGGAAGATCCACGTGGGGAGTCGGCAGGGGCACCTCCGGTTATCAGCCTGGCCCTGCTGTCCCCACCCTCCCTATGGCTTAGCGGTTTGGGAAGCAGCATGCCATGTCCATGTGGTGGTTCTAGTGACTTCAGAGGGACGTGTTCACTTGTTTTGCAGCCTTCTCTTGGTGTTTTCTGCAGCTGGGGCAGGGGCATACTGAGGAGGAGAGGAGGAAGGAGCTCCAGGTGCTGGCCTGGAGGAGGCAGGAGACGTGCTCACCTGGGATGGAAAGGTCTGGGGCTCGTGGGAAGCAGATAAAGCATTTATCACCCTCCTCCCCCACTCTCCCCAAAACTGTAAATTACTAGGCTATGCAGAGATGCCTCTGAGGACAATACCGTTTCTACCCCTTGACGCTCCTTCACGTTAACAGAGTGTGGCTGCTCATCAGAACTGCCTGAAGTTGTAAAATATATATTTAAAATATTTTTAAAGAGATTTTATTCATTTATTTTTACAGGGGAAAGAGAGAGGGAGAGAAATATCAATGTATGGTTGCCTCTCATGTGTCCCCCACTGGGAACTGACCTGCAGCCCAGGCATGTGCCCTGACTGGGAATCGAACCACGATCGTCTGGTTCGCAGGCCCACACTCAATCCACTGAGCTACACCAGCCAGGGCTATATTTTAAATATTTTTTAAATTTATTTTTAGAGAGAGGGGAAGGGAGGAAGAAAGAGAGGGAGAGGAACATTGATGTGAGAGATAAAAATCGATCAATTGCTTCTTATAAGTGCCCTGACTGGGGGCCAAACCCGCAACCCGGCCATGTTCCCTGACAGGGAATGGAACTGGTGGCCTAGTGCTTTGTAGGATGACACCCTACCAACTGAGCTATACTGATCAGGCCCCAAAGTTGTAATACATTAAAAACAAAAATTCCTGGGCCTCACTGGAGATCAGTAGTTTGCCCCCGGTTGACACTGGGTGATGTCTGAAGACACTTCTGATTGTCACAATGGTGTGCTATCGGCTTCTAGTGGGTAGAGGCCAGGAATGCTGCTAAACATCCCACAACACAAAGGCCAGCCCCACAGCATGGAATTATTCAACCGCAATGTTAATAGTGCTGAGGTTGAGAAACTGCCCCAGATAAGACTCAAGTTTGTACTCAGAGATGTGTTTTCAACAAATTATTTCAGGGGATTCTGATTAAAAGACAATCCATAGAAATGGATACAAGGGTGGCCTTTGGAAACAGATACGTTGGGCTATGTGACCTTGAACATGATTTTTGATCTTTGCATGCCTCCGTTTCTCTATTTCTAAAGTGGAATAAAAATAATAATTTTAGTTATCTACCTACCTACCTACCTACCTACCTAGTAAGGTTGTTGCAGGGTTAATGAACCAACATGGAGTCCTGGCAGAGAGTCATCAAAAACTGTTGGTCACTATTCATGTTGTCATGATTATTATCGACAGACAGGTTGAGAACTGGGGGAAAAGATGGTCAGCAGGCCTGGCCTCGGATGCCTGCCGAGGCTGGCCGGGAAGGTGTGGTTTGGGAGGCTGCAGGGCATGGTGGGCTCACCTGGAAGCGGTGGAAGTCCTGGGGCTTGAAGTCGTTGGGGGAGCAGCCGCACCAGTCCACGATGTGTTTGTACTGGCACTTGCAGCCCAGCTTGCGGTTCCAGTTGGTGATGCGCAGGTTGTTGTCCACCATGGTGTCGCAGTGAGGACTATTCTCCAGGACTGTGTGGAAGAAGGACTGTAGGGGAGAGAGGAACCAGCCTGAGACCTCTTCCAGCTTCCCTTGAATGGGATGGGGTGGGGATCCTGCCCTGGGACTACCTGACTGCAAAGGGACTCTCTCGGAAACTCATCTGTTCTTCCTATAACTGGGGTCAGTGCCAATCTGGTTCTACTCAAGGTACACCAGATGTTTCATCCAGAGTGGCTTCATTCTGTCCAGAAGTCTAATATTCTGAGTGTTTCTCTAATTATTTTTCCCCAGCAGTCCAAAACCTGATTTCAAGATACGGCTTATCATCCAGGAATCTTCTGTCTGCTCAGCAGAGAGGAAAAGTCCCTCCGGGTATATCAACACATGGGGGTTAGGGGAAAATATAGGGGCAATTTTTCAGGAAAACTTGGGCCCTTGGTTTTTGCTTTGCAAGTAGCCATGTCCGAAACCAAAGGGATTCAGCTCTGAGATCTCTTGAGAAGAAACATGAATGCTGTGGAATTTCATGCTTGGGTAAGGGAGGGGAAATTCAAGGGTGCATCAGGCCCCAGGGCTGGAAGGCATGCAGATATAGTGTGACTACAAAGAGGGGAAGGGTGGGGGTAGGGGGAGAAGGAGCTGCTTGCTGTCCACGGTGCTGAACCAGGCACAATAGCTTCCCCTAATCCTAAGACTCTTGGCCCACCTCTCCAAGGAATGTGAGAAAGATGTAATGTTGATAGTGAAAAGAGAGGTCAGAGAGGAGGGACATGGTTAGAAATGTGGAGAGAGAGAGAGAGACACTGATTTTTATTTGGACACTTTTATGACAACCCAGACACTAGGCAGATACATTCTCCCCTGCTCTCTGCCCCCTAGGGGAAGCTATGGGGGAACATGTGTTTGCCTGTTATAAATTTATGGCACAGCCTTCAGATTTCTTCTGAGCTGGTTCCTTGGAAGTGGTCTGGGAGATGGGAGGGAGAGGTGGAGGTGCTGGGGTGGGGGGGATGGATCTAACAGGGACCTGAGTTGAAATGTGCCTGTGTGTGCTGCAGGAGCGGGGCAGAGAGAGCCAGCCCAGGATGAGCAATTTGATTAAAAGAACCAAAGTTCCAAGCAGTCTCTTCTCAATGGGTGGGTGGGCAAAATGAGGCTCCACCCACCATCCCCAGCTGACCTTCCCATGATGCTAAATGACGTGCTGGTGAACCTGGATTTTAAGCTTGACTTGTCTACAAGCCCACAGAAGCACACATTCTCCATCAAGCAGTGGGGGAAAGTACCCAATTACTGACTGCCCTGTGTCCTTTTATAATGATACAGAAATTCTGTCCAAGATAATGGATGAGGAGGTTATCAGAATTGAGAGAAAAGGTGATTTTCGCTGAAATAGGATTAAAAGCTGATTACTTAACAAGTGTGCAGAATAGCAAAAACGTGGCCTGGTTACAACAAGCCCATCATTCCTCTGGAGTGACACAGGCAGTCAGCCCTACCCAGAGCTTGTCACTGCCCCGCATGTTGGTGAGGGACATGGAGGCCATCGAATGAGATGCACTGTCTTGTCTGTCCTAGAGATATAACACCTGAGGGGTCCAAAGATGGGACCCAGCCAGGAAGAACTGGTGGATCACTCAGGGGACCTGTCATGGGCTCAACAGAAACAGAACCAGCTCTGGAGTTTTCTGAAGTAGGAAATTAAGGGCTGGAGGTCAGGGGGCTTAACCTGGAATATTTCAGCCCAGGTCTGATAAAGAGGCTGCTGGCACACCAGGGGCAACACTTCAGCTCTGGGTGCCTACCCACTTTCAGGTGGTCCAGGGCTATGTTAGAACAGTCTCCAGTCTTAAACAATAGGGCTTCTGAAAAGGACTGACTGTGTCCCCCTAAAATTTGGAGGTTGAAGTTGTAACCCCTGATGTGATTATGTTAGCAGGCAGGGCCTTTGGAAGCTGACTAGAAGAGGAGGGTGGAGCCCTCACGCATGGGGGTGAGTGCCCTTATGAAAGGGAGCCCAGAAAGACCCTAACCCCTTCATCCTGTGAGAACACAGCGAGGACTGTCAGTAGGCAGTCTGCGTGACCTGGAAGAGGGCCCTCACCCGATCATGCTGGCAGCACGATCTTGGACATCCAGCCTCCAGAACTGTGAGAGGTAAACTTCTGTTGTTTATGAGCCACCTACCCTATCATATTTTGCAGCCCTAATTAAGATAGCTTCCCACCCTCCGGCCTGAAGAGTGGTGACAGGCTGCCTAGAGCTCTCAAATACTTCCAAAAGCCAACAGGAAATGCCGAGTCCCAGGCATTTGCCCATGAGGGCTGTCAGTGTAGGGAGTGTCCTGAAAGGGCCAGCTCTTACAGCTGTGCAGATTACGCACCACGCAATCCTGGGATGAGGGCTGCTGCCACCAACACTGTAGATAGCAAAGGTCTGTATTTTTTTAACAGTTTCCCAGAAAAAGGCAGTAAGTGTCCTGTTCTAACAAAATTAGTATATTGTGATGATTTTTATTACCAACGGGAGCCGGGTACCCGAAAAAGGGCTGCCGTTTGTAGTTGCCACAGAGACACTGTGGATGGCTGATGGCAGCACTTTGCGTCTACTCCACACAACCTCCATAGACCGGAGGGGACCAGGGCTGTTGCTATGACAGCAAGGTCCCTGGTAGCCAGTGCTGTTCTCCATCTTCAACTGGATGTTTGGAGGGCTGCGTACTGGACTCCGCATTGCTTTGCCAAAAATTCAGCATTCGCTTTGCTCCAGAGGTAAGTAAGAGCCAGCCCTGACCGTTCTCTGGCACTTTTTATCCCCCTGGAGACTCACCTCAGCAGGAAGCAGGGTGTAGGAGTAGAACTGCTTCATTTTAGTCACCAGATCATCTGTAGAGAATGTCACATACTCCACAAACTTCCGGTTCAGCAGGAACCAATCCGAACCACCATCCACAGCAATGCCCTCTGGGATCCGCCGGTCCCCCAGGCGCCACATGTGGGCGTCACACTCCAGGAAAAGCCGGTCCAGGCCCTGTTTCCTGATGAACCTGAGAGAGACAGAGAAGCCACTGTCCAAAGGAGCCTCCACCCAGAGTCCAAACGAGATGGCACAATCACGGTGATCAAAGCATTTATTGAGCACTGACTGTGTGCCAGGTATAGTTTGTCACTTGGTCTTCACGAGTGAGGCTGGTCACTCCATCCCACCGAAGCAGGTGCTATTATTACACCCACTGTACAGATGAGGGCACTGAAGCTTAGAGACATTTAGGGGACTTGCCGAGCACAATTAGATGGCAATGAACCTGTGGTACATCTGCTTGCTCTTTAGGAAACTTTGAAATCATCTTTCCATGCCACGGATACCTTGGTAGCTTATTAAATATAGCTTGTGGACACTCATTTCAGAATAGTGTTCATAAATCAAAACATACAGGATTCCAAATTTTATTTTTAAACAGCAAAGTTGTGCTCTGGCCAGGTGGCTCATTTGGTGGAGTGTCATCCCAGAGCCAAAAGGTTGCAGGTTCAAACCTGACCAGGGTATGCCTAGGCCTAGGCTGTGGGTTCAATCCCTGGTTGGGGTACATACAGGAAGCAACCAATCAATGTTTCTCTCTCTCTCCATTCTTATCTCTCTAAAAATCAGTACACATATCTTCAGGTGAGGATTAAAAAAAAGCAAAGTTACGATATAGTAATTCATGTGCTTTTTGATTCACACATTAAATATAGGATTACAAAGTATTTCTGAAAACACCAAATTTATGGTAATTACAAGTGTTTCTTTCTTAACAAGTGAAATAACGAGATCTGTGGCAGGTCTAATAACCACTGTAATTGTGAAGAAGTGGTGAGCATAACTGATATTTAGAGGTAGGTGCATCGACTATAATGTGATAGGGAAATATGTGATTCCTAACAGTTACTGCTCATACTGCTGTGGTTTGCTCTCTATGTGTAGCTAGATTTTAGTGAGAATTCAGTGAAAATAAAGATCGTTTTGTTCCCATTCAAAGTCACCGGTCCTCTGAATTCCACCTATGCACCTTAAGATGGACAACTCCAGCTCTAGAGTATATACATATAAATATTCGGGAGTCTGCAAAGCAGGCTGTGTAGCACTGGCACCGCCTATTCTGTAAATGCAGAAATCAGTGGTCAAAGAGCTGGTCAAACAGGTGTGCGGGGAGACTGGTCAGAGCAAAAACCCAGTCTTCTGGCCCGAACTGTACATTTTCAGTGAGCATTAACTGCACACGTACAATGTGCCAGGCACTGTGCTGGCCCTAGTGCAGGGCAAGGGGGAGTCAGGGTGATTCCTACTTCTCAGGAGCTAGTTACCCAGCTGGGAGCTGAGTTTACAGGACTCCCGACTCGGGGATCCTGCTGCTCCTCCAGCTCTACAACACAACAACAAGCATTTTAAAGCATGCCATTTAAGGGCATGGTACTCATTCAAAATGCTGTGCACCCGTCATCCCAATAATATTTCATCGCCCCAAAGGAGAACTCCATGCCCATAAGCTGTCACTGACCATTCATTCCCCGCCTCACCCTTTAGCCCCTGGCAACCACCAAACTGCTTTCCATCCCTATGGATTTACCAATTCTGGATATAGATGGGATCATATAGATGGAGTCCTATAATTTGTTGGTCTGTTTGTTTGGCTTCGAACTACCATAGTGTTTTGAAGGTCCATCCACATTGTAGCGCATACCAGTGCTTCATCCCTGACAGAATGGATGTCTGTCCAGCATCCATTCCTGATGTTTCTGGGAACCACGTCTCGATTTTACTTTGGTCAGTCACTAATCTTTGATTCTCAGTTTACTTGGGTTTGCACCTTACCCTAACACCAGGGGTGAGAATGTGACCCAGGCTGGTCAATTCCTATCTGCTTGGCTGCCGTAATACTGGTTCAGGGATGGGTGAGAAACTCAAGCTGAGTTTGAGACTGGTTCCTAAATTTTCACTGAACTTATCAGGAAGGCTCTTCCATGGGGTTTTTGGCTGAGAGAGCACAAGCTTGGAGCTGGTGGTAGCTGTCGTATCACCATGAGTATAGAGGTTGTCTGACAGTGGAAGTAACACTGAAAGAAGGGGAGGTCAGGCTTTGCATGGGAGCCCAGAGCAAGCTGACAATTTTTCTGAGGACGTGCACAGGACACAGGCAAGGACAGAAGCCAACAGAAGACCCAGGTAACCAACCTCCTTGGTCGTGTTCTTTCTCTTAACACATCTTTCCACATGCCACATCTGAAGTTGGCCTCACATGGATGAAGGGGTTAGGGATCTCTTTGTAGAGGGGGTGATCTGGTGAAGGTCTTTCATTATACTCACCATATCACACACCACAGACACAAAGCTTGGCTTTAACCAGTTCATTAAAAGCAACCCTGAATTTAAGAAAATAAAATCCTACCTTGACTGTGGCTGGTGCTAAGTTATGTAATAATGTCCAGTTAGTGCATTTAACCATGGTTAACATTTTAAACTTCAGATAATCTGTATCAAAACTTACATGGTGGACTTCCGCCAAGATGGAGGCATAGGTGGATGTGCCGTGCCTTCTCACACAACCAAGTTTAGAGACAACTAAATATTAGCAACAGAAAACACAGCCAGAACACGGAAAATTGAACTTTTTGGAAGTCCGTTAACAACAAATTCTTCAGCCTGACCGGTAAGGGGCGAAACCAGCGGCTGGTGAGGGGTTGCACAGGGGGACTCGGTCAGACGGACTCAGGCGCGGAATCCAGGCGCAGGGTTGGACCTAGTGAGCGACCGAGCGAGCCACCAGGCGAGCGACCGCGGAGGAGACAGCGGGGAAGCGGTGCTGCGTGTTGACTGTGGTCGCCCATTTGTGCTCGAGCGGACAGGCGAGGGAGTGGGCGGTTGGACCGGCTGGAGGGTCCCCGCTGCAAGCGGCAGTAGAGGGCGCCGCCATTTCCCCGCTCTGACCACGCCCCCACATACAGCGTCACAACCCAGCGACCTGGGAGTCCAAGGCACCCCTTCTTACAGTTAAAGGGCCAGAACAGACAAAAAATGTCTCAAGTTCTCAAAGCTCCAGAGCCCATAGATCTAAGCGATGAAGAAATAGCAAAACTCTCAGACGCACAGTTTAAAACACTGGTCATCAGGATCCTCACAGAACTGGTTGATTATAGCCACAAATTAGACAAATATATGAAGGCGAAACTAATTGAAATGAATGGAATTGCACAGGACACCAATAGCAATGAAAAGGAAACTGGGACTCAAATCAAGGGAGTGGACCAGAAGAAAGCAAATCAAGGCCAAACAGAAAAGAGTCAGGAAGCAAGAATTCAAAGAAATGAGGAGAGTCTTAGAAACCTCCAGGACATCTTTAAACGCTCCAACATCCGAATTATAGGGGTACCAGAAGGGGGAAAGGAACAGCCACCAGTGGAAAACTTATTTGAACAAATAATAAAGGAGAATTTCCCCAATCTGGCAAAGGAAATAGACTTCCAGGAAATCCAGGAAGCTCAGAGAGTACCAAAGAAGTTGGACCCAAGAAGGAACACACCAAGGCACACCATCATTACATTAGCCAAAATTAAAATGAAGGAGAGAATCCTAGAAGCAGCAAGAGCTAAGGGGATAGTCACCTACAAAGGAGTGCCCATCAGACTGTCAGCAGATTTCTCAAAAGAGACCTTACAGGCAAGAAGGGGCTGGAAAGAGGTATTCCAAGTCATGCAATCCAAAGACCTACAACCAAGATTGCTCTATCCAGCAAAACTTTCATTTAAAATGGAAGGACAGATAAGGTGCTTCTCAGATAAGATCAAATTCAAGGAGTTTATCATCACCAAGCCCTTATTATATGAAATGTTAAAGGGACTTATCTAAGAAAAAGAAGTTAAAGAAACATGAACAGTGAAAGGACAGCAAACTCACAGTTATTAACAACCACACCTAAAACGAAAGCAAACTAAAAGGACAGCTAGATCAGGAGTGGAAACATAGAAATGAAGATCTCAAGGAGGGTTAGCAACAGGGGAGTGGGAGGAGGAGAAGGGGGGGAGAAGGTACAGAAAATAAGTAGCATAGACAGTAGATAGAAAATAGATGGGGAGGGCAAGAATAGCATGGGAAATATAGAATCTAAAGGACTTGAGACACATGGTCATAAACTAAAGGGAGGGTAATGGTGGGGATGGGGGGGTAGGGTGGAGGAGAATGAAGGGGGGAATAGAACAACTGTAACGCCATAATCAATAAAAAAATTAAAAAAAAAAACTTACATGGTAACCAAGATTAACCCAGAGAGAAAAATAAAAGATACACAGGTGTGAGAACTTGCAAAATTTTTCTTTCCATGGACCAGCTTTTTAATTTTATGTTCCACTATATGGGATAACAGCATCGTCTTGCAATTTTAATGTGCTGTCCCAGACCATAATATCCAAATACAATATTTATGCAGTAAAATCTCCAAAATAAAATATTCATGGGGTTGGGAGATTGGTTGCTGTATTTACTGCATTCCAAAACTGATAAGCAGCAAGCACATGCTTTGGTTAACTGTGAGTAAAAATAGAGACAACCAATTCCTATGGTCTCAGAAAAGTTTCTGCTGAGAGGGGCTGCTGGGAACTGGGTCTGAATTGGGAGAAGGTGGCAGAGACCTAGAGCCTTGGTATCTAGCAAATGAAAGGAATCACCTTAGGAAGTGATTTGCTTTTTTTCCTGTTCTGTGAACTAACCATAGCTTGGAAAGGTAAAGGTTTGAAATCAAGGTATGTCAGTAAACACCTGGGTGTATCTTTGCTTAGATGCTGGCTCACCAGTAGACAGGGTACTTAGCTCTCTTACCTGATGGACAGAGGACAGATCGATTTGCAGCAGTGGGCCCAAGACATAGAAGGTGACTAATGATGCTCTCCTCCCTTCAGTTTCACCTCCCACTAACTTGGTTACCTGGGGCAATTGGGTCAATAGGTGGAACTATCAAAAAAAACAGACACCAAAAGGATCTGTGTACCAGTCCTGCCTCTGCTTCCACAGACTGTG